AAAATACAGATTAGAATCCAGATCAAAATGAAATAATCCATAATTCGATCACTGAAGTGGAAGAATTCACACACTGTATACAAAAAGAATGAATTCTGCTGCTCATAGTTTCATACCATGAAAAATATACAACACAGACCTGCTAATACAAAAACTAAACTAAAAAGAGTTAATTGTTTTTAAAAAAAGGTTTGTTTTTATTTGAATACCTGTAGTGAATTGCCTAAACCTTGCATCTGGCATATGTCCTCCATACAACAAGAGACTAAAACTAACACTTAATCTATTAAAAACTAAACTAAACATTTGGAAGCAATAAACAAAACCTGAAACTAAACTGAATTAAAAACAATACGTCAATATGAAATAAAAATGAAAACTAATTAGGAAATACATAACTATATTAAGTATTGAAAGCATTTAGAGCCAGGCAACAATTCCTTTTCTTCTTCTTCTTCTTCTTCTTCTTCTTCTTCTTCTTCTTCTTTGATGAGCAATAAAATAGGTTGTACGTAAATACAAGTATTAGACGTTACATGAATTAAGCTCAATTTCTATTTGGGTAGAGAGCATTAACAAAAATGACTATAACTGCGTTTTGTGTTTTATTTATTATTATTATTATTATTATTATTATTATTATTATTATTATTATTATTATTATTATTATTATTATTATTATTATGAAAAACGTACCTTGATACATTTTTATGATTGTTGTGTTACATGTTTGTTTGTTTGTTTTCGGGGCTTTTTGAGGACCAATTTTATCAAAACTTTTACTAAATATGAGGCACATAGAGAGCATGAATTTAACATAATCTGTAGCACATACTAGAGGTAGTAATAGAGGTTTTGTTTTCGTTTCTTTTTACACACGTCGCTGTGTGACTGAAGTTCACATATCCCAGAATCCTCCGCGGGCCTCTCACCCCCTCTTAGTTTTTGCATCCGGGTCTGAACTTCCTTTTCCTCTGTGCCTAGATGCGATGAGGACCTAGGTTTTCCCGGACCTCTGAAAAATCCGAATCCATCCTTGCAAAAGGCACCACCGAACCTCGCCAAAATGACCGAGCAGATGACAGTGAGGGGGACCCTGAAGGGGCACAGTGGATGGGTCACCCAGATCGCCACTACGCCCCAGTACCCCGATATGATCCTGTCGGCGTCCCGAGGTGAGGCTTCCCCCGCCGGTTGCGCCAACATGGCTCAGATAGCATTATTAAGCTAGCTGCTGCCGCTGTAATGTGAGGCAGATACTTAAACTGGTGTGTAAGGAGCAGATAAAACATGAGTAACCACGTAATATTAGATAAAGAGGGCTCAAACTTTTACATAAAAAAGGTCCTAACTAGCTTGAAAGAAGCAGGTTAGCTAAGCTCGCTAGCGCTATCTGTCGTCATCTGTAACAGACCCGTTGATGTCCATACTTGTTAGGAGGGTTATAGCACGTTTAGTTACCTGAATAAATGTAATTATTTAGCAACAAAACCCTCCTAACCTTCGTAGACTGAGCCCGTGGATCCGAAGTTTAACAGGTGTGCATGTAGTGCTAGCAATCGATGCATGCTGATGCTTAAATTATTCGTTTCCTGAATGAATATTGGACGTTGAGACATGAAAACGTGTTGCTTTTTTTCAGACAAGTCCATCATCATGTGGAAACTGACCCGTGATGAAACCAACTACGGTATCCCCCAGCGTTCCCTGAAGGGTCACTCTCACTTTGTGAGTGATGTTGTGATCTCCTCTGATGGACAGTTTGCCCTGTCCGGAGCCTGGGACGGGACCCTCCGCCTGTGGGATCTCACCACGTAAGTGCAGGGAGTCTTTACCCCTGGGCAGATGTTTAGAAGTACAGGTGAAAAGCCAAGTCTTCTAAATGACATTTGATTTTTAAGAATCACTTGAGTTTGAAGAGGCCTAGTGCTAGTTTCTCAGATCTGTTATATGCCAAAAATAGTCTTACAAATGAAGTGTTTTCTTAGTTTCAGAATATCAAATTGTTCTCTATGCCATCAGTACATGAGATCTGATACCAACAAAGCCTAAGTTGTCTAGATCAGGTCACACTGACTTTTCAGCAGTCTGATCGACCTCACGCAGACAGAACCACCACAAAGGTAATGGGGTGAAGGTCTGTACTCAGACAGGCACAGGTTCTGTCAAACCCATCACCTACCCTCTACCCTTAGTATGAGCTCAGAAAATCACACATCCATCAGCTGCTGTTACTGTATTTGCACACTGGACTCACAAAATCAAGGGGAAATGGAAGTTTGAACATAATTTAGCTGATTTTTGTTACTGTGTGGGAGCAAAGTCAGAAAACGAGAGGGTTTTTTTGCTTAACAGATTAAGGGCAAGTAGTATGGAAGAAACTGTAAGTGTAGCTGCATTATTTGGTGATTTCACAGACTACTTGTGAACCCAAACCACATAGTTTGTCCGTTTCTTCACCTCTGGCCGTTGTGTTTTCCTTGATTTTTTTTTCATTTTTTTTATCACTGAAAACTCAGTTGAGCAGCAACATTGGTGTTTCTTGAATGGCCTCAAATAGCTGGCTTTTGGGTGTGTGCACCATTTCACTGCCTAAGATCTATGCTGAAAACAGTGATGGTAATAAATGTGCAGATGGTCCAGTTTTTGCTGGATTGTGCATCCACAGCTTTAAAATCTTGAGTTGTATTTTTTATTTTTCAGTGTCAGTGTTCGCATTGTAAAACAAAGACACAAGAATAACTGGTGTAGTAATTTTTTTTTCTGGCTCTTAAATTAATGTCTAGGCCTTGGACTCGTCAGTAGTATTTGGATGCAGTGGCAGCAGGCATGCATTGATTGGTTATGCTAAGGTGTGCAGTAATTTAGTTGATCTGAAATGCCTGCATATTTTTCTTCCTAGTGGTCTCACCACCCGCCGATTCGTTGGACACACAAAGGATGTTTTGAGCGTGGCTTTCTCTGCTGATAACCGCCAGATCGTGTCTGGCTCCCGGGACAAGACCATCAAGCTGTGGAACACTCTTGGAGTCTGCAAGTACACCATCCAGGTGAACTTCCATCTAATGCTCTCCTGCAGCTATCAGCCACTTCTTAATGCCTTAATATTATTTTGAACGAGACACTTAACAGTTAAAGATGCTAGCTTTAATGTAAAGCAACTAGATGGCACTTTATTGTTGACATCTACATTTTCCCCACATTGTTTGCCTGATTGTGATAAAATGATCTGGCAGATAATAAAACTTTGTTATATGGTTTGTCTGCTCGATGATTATTACAAATTTTGCATGTATTACCTGATCTCGTTGATGAGTACTATTGATGAGGGCACAAACCAAATAGCATCACGTGACGTTTTTAATACCAGCATTACTCATAATCTGGCTTTGAGAATTCACAAAGCTCTTTATTTTGCAGGATGAGGGCCACACTGAGTGGGTGTCTTGTGTTCGCTTCTCCCCCAACAGCAGCAACCCCATCATCGTCTCCTGTGGCTGGGACAAGATGGTTAAGGTATGTTACCTTTGTGGAAACTTGGTGTTGTGTGGTTTGCTCAGTGATTTAAAAACTTTTCGCATGGCTTAACTGAACTTGGTGATGAGAATTATTTATGAGAGCAAAGCTCAGATAGGCTGACACGATGGCGCTTATAACAGTGGAGGCCTAACATAGTGTGCCCCTTGCTCATAGGTGTGGAACCTGGCCAACTGCAAGCTGAAGACCAACCACATTGGTCACACTGGCTACCTGAACACAGTGACCGTGTCTCCTGATGGCTCCCTGTGTGCATCTGGTGGAAAGGTAAGGCAGAGTTTAACTGAATGTCTTTTTTTTTTTTTTTTATCATTTTTACTCCACTTAATAAGAGTAAATTAAAGCCTGCAGGTTTCAACTATGATGTATTCTTTACATGCATCTGTTTTAATATTGATGACACCAGAGGCTGTTACTGAGTGATTCCTGCACCTTAAAGAGATCATCATTAGTGCTGAAGATTTTTAAAAGTGACTGTTTGCTTTAAATGTTACACAAAGATGTTTGAACTGAAGGATGTCTTCTGTCTTCCACATTAGGATGGCCAGGCCATGCTGTGGGACCTGAATGAAGGCAAGCACCTCTACACCCTGGACAGCGGTGATGTGATCAACGCCCTTTGCTTCAGCCCCAACCGTTACTGGCTCTGTGCTGCCACTGGACCCAGCATTAAGATCTGGGTAAGGCTTCACACTCTGATCTGTGTGTTTAAAAATTAAAGTTGTAAAGGGCAGTGATGTAACCTAACATGCCAGCTGTATTCTATGATGAAAACCAGAGGCTGTTTCTGAGCTCTAACCTTGTTTGTTAGTTTAATAATAAATTTTGGTGCTCAACTTCAGTCACTGTTTTATACCTGTTAGTGATCACACCACCTCTTGGTTCTTCTTTTCATGTAGGATCTGGAGGGCAAGATCATTGTGGACGAGCTGAGACAGGAAGTGATCAGCACAAACAGCAAGGCCGAACCCCCACAGTGTACTTCCCTGGCATGGTCTGCTGATGGACAGGTAAGAAAAACGTATATTAAGCATGTCTGTCAGAAGAGGTGCTTTTAGTGTTTTACCCCCAGTGATTATTCCCATTCACTTTTACCTCTGATGTCCACTGGTGACAGTCCTGCAAATATGAGGGGCACTAAAAACAGTTATCTGGATATGATCGGACTATAAAACGGCAGAAATTGATGAGCGTTGACTTTATGTTCTCGGTTTCTTTACAGACCCTGTTTGCTGGCTACACTGACAACCTGATCAGAGTGTGGCAGGTCACCATTGGAACTCGATAAGAAATCCTCGTTGAAGCAACTTTAAATAAAAGACTGTTTGGAAAGAATGTGTCCCGTCTTGCTCTGAACATTGTATAATATTGGTGGTTCTCATATAAGTTGGTTAACGTAAAATTTATTCATATAGCACATTTAAAACAACTGTTGATCAAAGGGCTGTACATTTAAGATGATCAAAAGAGATGAAATTGACAAAATTTAAGAAAAGAAGCATAAAATGAGAAAATTTGAGTAAGAAATAAAACAAAATAGAATTCATTCTGGTTTAAAAGCCAAGGAATAAAAGTGGGTTTTTAAACTGGTTATGAAAGTGTCTAATGTTGGGGAGGTCCTGATGTGAAGAGGGAGTTTGTTGCACATTTCAGGAGCAATCACAGCAAAGGCCAATCTCCTCTGTGCTTTAATCTGGACATATGGACAGCTAGGAGCATTTGGTCCCCAGACCTCAATGATCTTGAAGGAATTTACCAGTTGAAAAGATCAAAAAGGTACGAGGGTGCTGACCTGTGCAATCCCTTGAAAAGTTAATAGTATTAAGTCTGATTTAAGAAGGAAAAATTAGATCTAGTATAATATTTAAGTGCAAGTTTGTGGATCTCAGATCTTGTACATTTTACTCAATTGATATCTTTAGTTAATGGTTACTTTTCAGATCATGTTACAGATGCTCCCTGAATGATAAAAGCCTCTTATCTCTGTATCTGTTTTACGAATAAGATTTCAAATATATGAAGGGTCAGGTCTACTGTTCCTACTCCCTGAGTCAAGAGAGAGAAGCAGGTCACAGAGCAGCAATGCTACAGAGTATGAAGGTTTGATGTGATCTGTATACAAAGAGGCTCAACTTTAAATATGTGCAGTAAAAGTCCTCAAATAGTCAATTAAATGCCCTTTGTAAAGCATTAATGTCTACTTTAGTAATATTTAAGTGTTGCTTTAAAGTATTTTCACTGTCACCCCGGTAGTTCAACCAGGGTGGTAAGGTGCCCCCTTATACTGTGTACCCCAATGTGACAGTCCTCCATATTTAAATTACTTTGGTTTGCAAAATCTGCGAGTCACGAAAACAAGTCTGATTATCAGATCTGCTGCTGGAATAACACTGTTAATAGTTATTGCCACGCAAAAAGGGGGCATACAAGTACAGCTATCCACGAAAAGGTTTCTTCACTGAGCTATAACATAATCTCCCACATCATGTTTATTGTGATTCTTACTATACCCTGAGATATTTGGCAAGATTTTATGTAACTAAACAGATTTAAGAGAAGCTGATACTTTTTTGACGAAGGGGGACAAATATTTATTGAACCTTTGAATTCGCGAGTTTTTACATCGTAAGAATTGTCCTGCATGCGGTGCCGTACACGTGCATCCTAGCAACAGACATACACATCCAGAAGGTGGGTCAGTGGTTTAATTGAACGAGTAATCGCAGTTTCGCTTTAAAAAAAAACATTTTTATAATGAGGCTACTCAAACTCTTCATTGCCAGCTGTTATTAATATTAAGTAAATTAATATCATAAAGATAAATGTTACAAGCGTCTGTCTGATTTGATGTTAGCGAGCGAGAGGAGATGGATGAAAGTTCACCTCTTCGTATTCATGTGGAAAGAACACTGGCCATTATTAAACCAGATGCCATCGACAAAGCTGCGGAGATAGAGAATATTATCCTCAAGTCGGGTTTCACCATCCTGCAGGTATGTTAAAGTTTCTTACGTTGGTAAATTACAAGATGAGAACTGTGGGGTGCACTTTGTTGTGTCAGGGACGAGGCTATCCAGCTGAGGATTTTTGAGGAAATAATTGATCTATTTTCTATTATAAGAAGTGTGATATCTTCGTTCATATAAATGCCCCTTTTAAAAGTAATAGATTTTCTTCCTTTGCAGATATCAGTAGCGCAAAGGTTTTCCACTAAAGGGCGTTAATATCCAATGCAATTCAATTTTATACAGCGTCAAATCTCAACAGCAGTAACCTCAAGGTGTTTTATTCTCTATGGTAAAGACCCTACAATCAAACGTCCTTCTTTGAGCAAGCATTTGGCAACAGTGGGAGGGAAAACTACCTTTTAACAGGAAGAAGCCTGTAGCAGAATCAGACTCAGGCAGGGGTAGACATCTGATGCAACTGGCTGGGGGTGATGGGACGAAGACAATAACTTAACAACAATAATAACAAACAATAGTTGATAATACAATCACTGGGCACTTTATTTCTAGTAAACCTGGATCCCCTTTTCCCTCAGAACCACCTGAATGTTTCATAGCATGGTTGTCGGAAACATTCCAGTTTGAGATGATTTTAGCTTTGTGACATGGCGCGTTGTCTTGCTGGAAGCAGCCATCAGAAGATGGGTATACTGTGTCATAAATCGATCGTACATCTGGTACCTGAAGTGTGCCAAGAAAATGTACCCCACACTATTACACCACCACCACCATCCTGAACCATAGATACAAAGCAGGATGGATCCATGCTTTCGTGTTGTTTATGCCAAATTATGATGCTCAGTTTATACTTCAGAAGATCTATGACTATGCATACATGCCTAAATGCATTGAGCTGCTGTGACGTGATTGGCTGATTAAATATGACAGGACAAACCATTTTTGCACATGGTAAAAGCAATTAAAGTATGCATATGCAAATAGCAAATAGCCTCAGAATACCAGCCTACTGAAATTAAACTGATCAACTGTATCTGATGTGGTTAGAGATAAATCATGACTGTGTTCACCACCATATGTGCTTTCTCTGTCATATCCAATATTTAATCCCTGCATTAGAAGCGGAAGCTGCTGCTAAGTCCAGAGCAATGCAGTGATTTCTACGCAGAGGAGTATGGAAAGCATTTCTTCCCCAGCTTGACGGCCTTCATGAGCTCTGGCCCCATCGTTGCCTTGATGCTAGCATGCGACAATGCTATCGCCCACTGGAAGTACATCATAGGACCTGTCAACAGTGCCAAGGCCAGAGAAACCCATCCAGAGTGGTCAGTGTCATTGCTTGGGATAATGAAAAGTGGGGTGTAATTAGATTTTGAATAGAATAGAAGAAAATCAAAGACTGACATTATTACACAATATACAGTATACTGTGCAGCATGCTCACACTTTGGTGTAAAAGCACTTGAATATTTCTCTGCAAACCTGCCCCATCCTTGGACTCAGACAAATGAATAACAGTAATAATGTGTATTATTTACATGGCATTTTTTTTTATATAAATTTGACTTGTATATAACTTACAGTGTTTGATTGTAATTCTGGATCTCAGCCTCAGAATTTTAGTTCACCATGTCCTTTGACTGACCCATCATCAAGGCTTGGTATATTACTTTTATCAAAGGTATGGGTTAAAGGTCAGCTCTGTTAAAACTCATACGCAGATGTACAAATAAAGAATGCTGTACTTTTCTTCAGCCTTAGAGCAAAATATGGCACTTCTGAGCTACAAAATGCCCTTCATGGAAGCGATTCATTTCAAGCAGCTGTAAGGGAGATCAAATTCATGTTCCCAAACTGTAAGTAATTTGCACACCCACACATAATCTTCTATACATAGAGATCTTGTGCATATGCAAGTGTTTTGAATGCTTTTCATTCTTTGACCTGTGTGTTTTTTATGCAGCTATAATTGAACCCTTACCCTCAAGAGAAGAAAATGAAGAATACCTGAGCAGGTATATAAACCCAGTTCTGCTACGCGGGCTCACTGAGCTCTGCATGAACAAGCCACTCAACCCCATTGTAAGTATTAGAAGCTACACGTGTTCACTCATTAGCCAGCTGTTTAGCGCTTTGTGAACATGGGGATTGTATGTTTGCTCCTGATAGATTTGGCTTGCAGACTGGCTCATCCAAAACAACCCAGACCAACCTCAAATATGTGAAGCAGTCGTTGTGGAAGAGGAGCAATGAGAGGCAAACAGTGGGGGGAAAGGAGCAACGAGCACAGAGTTTAATGTCTTTCTTTTTGACTGAGAAATGAATCTGTTCAACGCTATAATGAAATAAATCATATTTTCAGTCGTAAGCATCTGTTTGCTTTCTGGCATAAATCAGCAATAGACTGGTGATCTGACTAGGTTGTACTTCACCTCTTACCTAAGCCCCAGAATTTGGGTTAGAAAAATGGATGGATGGATGAAAGTTAAAAGTCTTCTTATCACTTAAATATAGACACAACTTCTTAACCTTTAACTAAATACATCAAAAATGGCTGTGGCTCAGGAGGTAGAGTAGGTTATTTTCTCATTAAAGGCAAACAAAAGTGTTTGCTTGAATTAAGCTTTCATAAAAGAAAGAAAGCACTTTCTTACTGCTTGTAGTAAGGTTTGAACTCTCAAAGCACTTTCTAAGCATTAAGAACAATTCAATGTAAAGTTGTGTTAGTTTGTCCATTTACTTTTGAGCCTCTGAAAATGGGGGACTGCGTGTACAATTGGCTGTCATTCCTGAAGGGTCATGCAACACTCTTGCCTAACTCCCTGAAATAAAGTTGCACTGTAATTTGAATCTTGTGTGTCTGTGTTTTTAAATCTATGGTGGCGATTACTTATGAACCTAACTTTATCACGCTAGGATGAAAGGTCTGGAAATATTCTCTATAATTTAATCTTTGAATAATTTGATTTGGGCAGCTCCTTAAACTATTTTACAGCAGGTTTGGCACTAATTGAACATACAGTGTTGTGACAAAGTATATTTTTCAAACTTATGTCCCATATATCCTCTGATAATTGTTAACCTAGGTCTACTTCCCATTGAGTTGCAGTGGTTTTAGCCCTAGCTGGGAAAATACGTGTGTCTGGTGCTGCACTTTCAAAGTCACTCGTGTGTGATCTTATGTCATTTTTTACCTTGAGATATTTAAAGAAGTCTCATTGTGAGTGAACTTGACTTTGTTGGAAAGATATGAAAGTTACTTTTAGGTAAAAGTGGCCATGTTAAATATTTCTTTTATCCTCCGTAAAAACAGTGCACCATCTGACTTGGAAGGGGGAAAGAAAGTATTCAATATTATTGGCAATAATACTATTGGTGACTGTTTAATGTCGAAGAGCCACTCCATCTCCAACCCAGCAGGTAACACTGCTGGTCGACAAGGCAGTAGACAGCAGAGTAAATATTTGGCAGCACCAAATAACAGGACAAACAATTTTATAGGGTCTGCAAATGACGCTGTTTAAAAAGAGTGCATTTTGAAGTAGTGAACATGGTTGCACTGAATCCATCTGATAACCTGGGTCGACTGTATGAACCCAACTGAGATCAGAATGTTACTTGTTGACAAAACACTCAGTAACTTTATTTGATTTTGATGATGAGAGATGAGATGAGATAACCTTTATTTGTCAGTTGCAGGTCTTTTGCTCACAACCGAGATGACAGACCTTGCCGACCGTACATACAATACAAACATCACATTGGGGAGACAGGTCAGGCTAGGTAGCGAAGAAAAAAACATCGAAATGTGCAACACAAAAGGATAATACAGGAATGCACAGGTATCAACACACCATAACACAATAAACACAGTCAAGCAATATTTGATTTTGAGTCAGTTCTGTTGCTGTTGCTCCACTCAGATTGATTCACTATTAGTGAAAATAATAACTTATTTGTGCATTTGGGTCTGCTTATTCAGTAAGAGGGTACTTCCAATACCATTTCCTACATTTATATGCTAAGATTGTTGGAAACGGATGATTGCAGTTACCCAGCTGTGAACATTTTGTTCTGCAGTGTGTGACTCTGTTTGTTCCTAACTCACCAGGTATACAGAAAGCTGCTTATACTGCAAACACAAGTGCTTATGACTAGCTCAGGATATTTTTTTTCTTAAATAAATGGACTGAAGCATTATAACCCAAGTGTATATCCTTTTATCACAAACATATTTCTGGTAAAAGGATTTAGAAAAAGAATGACAGAAAATTATGAGTTCTGTCAACACACTTCAATGCTTTTGTATCTGATTATACATATACAATTGTGTGTATTACAACCTCAAAGCCAATCAATTAGCTTTTACTGTGCACTGAAGACATTTGAGTGTGAAACCAAAAGATGAATTTGAGAAGAGAGATCAGTTTCATTTTTTTTTATTGCCGTTACTGGCATCTAAATGTGTTTTTTTAAAAACATAGAATATACATAACTACATCAATTCTATGACCCATAGACTTCATCATATTTCTTATTTCTTCATTAGTTCATTAGTAGTCTCTTCATTAGTTATGTCTCTCCAGGGTTCTTTTTCAGCACCTTTTTCAGGGTTTGTCCTTTCAGTCTTTTCTTCATGAGTTGAAATGTTCAGCTGGGTAAAGATCTGGTGATGGCCAAAACCTCTCATGCCACAACCGCCACTGTGCTTCACAGATAAGCAGATCCCTTCTTTCTCCGTATATTGGGCTTTCCATCACTCCGGTGGAGGTTAATCCTTCTCTCATCATCAAACTGTTTAAGAACAGCGGTGGTTCATCTTTTTACTTTTCTTTTAACTTCAGTTTGACCTTCTAATTTTTTACCGCTGGTCAGTGGTTTGGATTTTGTAGTTTGGGCCCTGTTGTGTTTTCTAAGCCTCCTTCACAAGTCTTCACAGGTGAGAGCAAAAGAATTAAACTGAGTGAAGGTTCAGGGCTACTTCCCTTTTTAAATAATCAATAAGGAAAAAATAGATTATTAATGGATTACTGTGCCAGTGTGTTTTGTTACTTTATCTGAGCTGTTTTACCTATATCTCGCACTCTATGAATATGGATATAACTTGATGACGTCACTTTATGATTTTTTTTTAAAATTAATAATGAAAACTTCACTGGTAATTTTCAGACCAAGTTCCTTGAGTGGAGCTGAAATTACCGAGCAGTGAACACACCATTCTGAAAGTACTCTGAGTTCCTTCCTGAGTTCTCGAGGCGTGAACATCTTTTGTAGAAAAACAGAAAAAAAACTGTCTCACATGCGATTGGTCGGTGCCGTGAATGGCAGCAGAGATTTTCCAATCAGAGGGCTTCTGCGCAAAAAGGTCGTTTTTTTCTCCTGCTGGTTCTAGAAAACCAACCACGAGTTGCCGTCGTGTGGGAGAATCCATCTTGAAGAGAGCTCTCCGGTTGTGTGATTAGTAAGTACGTTTCTGTGGTTCATTAGCCTGATTAGTTTTTTTCTCATTATATTGTCACGTAAGTAATGCGAGTCTTGTAATCTATCTATTTTTTTTAAACAGTTGTTTTTTGGGGTACGTGCAGGTAATTTTTGTAGTTATTAAAACTGTAGGCTGATATTGCGGCCGTATCGGCCTCGGCATTACGTAACTGCGAATTTGAGTTGCATAGTCCCGGCTCGGTTTATCAGCGCGATACATATGTGTACAACTTTTCTAATATTTTCCCTTGGCAGTAATGCGCTAAAGATGCAGTTTGGTTACTGTGATGTGTAAGTGAACGTAACTCTGGCCATTTCCCGGCACTCTGTAATAAGCGGGGCTCTCTGAATGCAGGGAACGCGATCGCGCCGGCCAAAATGGTGGGAAAAGCACGTATTGGCACCATGGAAATGGCGAGGCATGCACGGCATGACACATTATATAACCCCCACAACTGTATCACTAATTCCTTACTCTATCTTGTTTGTGTTGGGGGACTTAGGTATAATTGTGCAAAATGTCTGAGTCAGAGCAACAGTACATGGAAACATCGGAAAACGGCCACGAAGTCGACGATGATTTTAACGGAGCCGGCCTCACTGAGGAGGGGAACGACGACGACGACGGCGCCGCCGCGAATGACTGCGGAGAGGACGCAGGGCCCGAGGACGACGACAATTCGCAAAACGGCGGCACGGAGGGAGGCCAGATCGACGCCAGCAAGGGCGAGGAGGATGCCGGGTGAGTTTAAGAGGCCTGCTGTGAATCTGTGAAGGAAGCAGGCGTCCCTAATGAGCGCTAGCGGTTTGCCACGGCTCTTTGTTCAACCGGCCTTTTGTTGGCGCCATGTGCAGCGCGGAGAGGGGGGATGGGCGCCACTGTAAAGATTAAATCTAATATATAGTTGCTTAGAAAAGCAGCAGATACGGGGTGGGTGCTGTGCCTCTACCATGGGGATTTCTCACTTTATTAAACCGGCCTTGAAAGATGGCTAACGGCTAAAAGCTAAAGCAAGTGCTACCTACCTACCCCCCTACATTAGTGGGTCACCAGATGTTTTGGGACAGCCTGTATATCTACACCCCTGGTTCTACCCACTACCACTACTGTGTGAAGCTTGTTAGTGGGGGGGTGCCTGCAGCTGCTGCTGCTAACAGTGTCCCTTCTCCTGTGCTCAGGAAAATGTTTGTTGGCGGTCTCAGCTGGGACACAAGCAAGAAGGATCTTAAAGACTACTTCTCTAAATTTGGCGAAGTGACAGACTGCACCATCAAGATGGACCAGCAGACAGGCCGGTCAAGAGGCTTTGGTTTCATTCTGTTTAAAGACGCAGCCAGCGTAGAAAAGGTAAGTGATGTAATTATGTGGACACGTGAGGCATATTTTCACAATGTGGGCAATTTTACATGTGTTTGTTTTTTCTTTGTCTAATAGGTTCTTGAACAGAAGGAGCACAGGCTAGATGGGAGACAGATTGACCCCAAGAAAGCCATGGCCATGAAGAAGGATCCAGTAAAGAAAATCTTTGTGGGCGGACTCAACCCTGATACTTCAAAGGAGGTCATTGAGGAGTACTTTGGGACCTTTGGAGAGGTACATTAGAAGCATCTGTCAGCATCTAAAGGAATTAAGTGGATATATTGGAGGTGGCTGCTACAAAACTCTGATTTCTTTGTTTGTAGATTGACACCATAGAGCTTCCGCAGGACCCAAAGACAGAGAAGAGGAGGGGATTCGTATTCATCACGTACAAAGAAGAGGCTTCGGTGAAGAAAGTCATGGAGAAGAAGTACCACAATGTCGGTGGTAGCAAGGTAATGGCACAGCAAGCTTGCCGGCTGAAATTTAGTTAGCCAGATTTATAAGTCTTTGCAAACGTTTAACACGATGCTCTTTGTGTGACATTGCAGTGTGAAATTAAAATCGCGCAGCCCAAAGAGGTCTACCTGCAGCAGCAGTACGGTGCCCGTGGATACGGTGGACGTGGGCGAGGACGTGGAGGTAAGCACCAAATCTGTGTGCACTTCAGAAGACTCTTGATTTCAATCATGGCCTAAATTTGTTTCTGGAGACTTGTGACAAAAGCTTTCTACTTGTTATTTCTAGGCCAGGGCCAGAACTGGAATCAAGGCTACAACAACTACTGGAACCAGGGATACAACCAGGGCTATGGTTATGGACAGCAAGGCTACGGATATGGTGGCTATGGTGGCTATGACTACTCTGCTGGTTATTACGGCTATGGGGGTGGCTACGATTACAGTAAGCGATAAGTGGCCCCAGGGAAAAGAAACAGAATGAGAGAAACTTTATTTTCTTGGTCCTCCTTTTTGTACAGAAGAACTCAGTCCCTTTTTCTCTTGTCCTCCAGACCAGGGCAATACAAGCTATGGGAAAACTCCAAGACGTGGAGGGCACCAGAGTAGCTACAAGCCATACTGATCACACATAGTGCAGGTATGCATTTCTGCATCATCCGTGGTAGTATGAGAACATAGCTGTAACCATTAGTGCCTTCTGACCCCAGAGATCTCCATCTACTCTAAGTCCATTCCAGCATTGTTGTGGGGTTAGGGTAGGCCGCCTTGTGGGGTCTGTGATCATTAGAGATGGATTCATTCCACCTGTCGGCCATCTTTAGATGAACCTGTACTGCGACTGCTTGATCAGTACGCGTCGAGTTTGTGGTGGTTGAAAGCGGGAATAAAGGACTGTTTCACCTTTCACCAAAGTGCTAGGTGTAACAGCTAGAGGTCGTGTCCCCCTCCCTTCCCAGCCCCTGCCCCCGTCCAAAAAGTGTGTCTGTCCATCACTGACCAGTCAAACTCATTCATGCACCTGTCTGTCTTTGTGTAACTGCATGCCGCATTTGGTTTATTCTCAGTAACGTTAAGCACCGTGTTTTTCTCTTAAGGTCTAAAGTAAATAAGAAAAAGAGATCCATGGTCTGACTACAGCGAACATGGGCTCTGGCTTTTCCTTTGGAGTTGGCAGAAAATTTGGACTCATGCTCCATTTGTACAGATCAAGTGAGGAACTGGGGAAGCAAATGTCACTTTTCCACTTTTTATTTTATATTGTTTTTTTGTTTTTGTTTTTTTGTGTCCATTTACATTTCCAGTGATGGAAGTGTTATTTTTACTGTACTTTTTGGTACCTTTTTGAATCTAATGTATTGTATGGTTGTATTTTTACATGTCTACTGGATTTACAGATGAGCAAGAGCTTTTAAAGCTCGCGAATAAAACAAATTTTTTTTTTTTTTGGTTTCTTCATTTTGTTTTGGTGTTTATAGATTTTGTTGTTCTCCCATGCTGAGTGTTGGATGTGAGTTGCATGGCTTCAGATGTGGGGTGAGGTTAAAAAAAAAAGGAAAAAGGGATTTATACTAATCAAAGGGTTCTTTGTAAGAGTGTCAAATAAATATTTGCAGAAGGCCTTGTAGACAAAGACAACCAGCAATTATTTGGTTTTGTTTTGGTTTTTTTTGTTGTTGTTGTTTTTGTTATTTTGGCTTTTAAGGAGATTCTTCCCCCATCATGTCTGCAATTTTTAAGTGGCTTTACTAGTGTTATTCAACTGAACGCAAGCCTGTTAAATGTAAGAGGGTATTCCCTCTCTCACTGGAAATTCATTCCTCTAGTGTCTTTGGCAAATTGGTAGAAATAAACTTTTGGTTTATATTACACATGGATCTTTCTGTTATTATTTGTAAAGTTAACGTTAAATGTTTTTGTACTGTTAACTGGCTTGCTTGTTTTGTCTCAAGTAATGTTAACATCTCCACGGGAAGCTGTGGGAGAGGGCTTCACTACCTGCAGGATAACTTGCTGAGTGTAACACCCACCCCACTAGATGTTAAACTGCAATACTTGAGCAATTTTTGTGAATGTGTCCGGGAGTTATAGTTGTCTGGTAAGTGCTTAACTCTACCATGCTGTGTATTAAGAACATGTTGCCAATCAGTGTTAAGTCACAGCTGATTATGTGAACTGCTGTCAGCAGAAAAATGACACAAGAACCAGGATTACAGTTAAAAAAAAAAAAAAAAGTTGTCAATATTTTCTTTAATTTATTTATTTTGTATTATAAAAGTGTGGAATTTCAAAATGTCATCTTCTGGTAGACTACATTTCCCAGGTGGCAATGATATGTTGTGGCTTGTAGTGTTTACCTCCAGTCTGTGGGGTGTCATCAGAGAGGTGACTGGTATGATCTGTTGAAAATGAGAATGACTAAAACATTTGCATTGATATTTCACTTTAAATGGGCATAGTTTGAAATGAATGACGACGCTGATCCAGCAGTACCGTTATTTAAAATTCACTGTCACCGCTTTGATATTCTCTGAATTATTAATTTCCAGATAGAAGTCCAACTTCTCTAAAGTGAACCCCCACAGTAGTCTGTGTTGAGTGGAAGAGGCAACATGTTCTGTGAAGCTGTTTGGTCTACTGGAGCCTCAAGAACAGATTTTAATCTCTACCTCTAAATATTATGAATGTGACCACCTGACTCTGTCTGATGCAATTAAAATGTTTTCTACAGGTTTGACAAACCTTAGATGTCTTCCTTTTCCAGTTTGAGGTCACTGGCTTTCATGTCTGAAAAAAATGAAATGGTTATATTTTGGTGTTGAGGTTTTTATGGACTGAGTAGATAGCATGCATATAACCTTGTTTACAATGGTAGTCAGCTAACCTGTAAGGATGCGATCAATACATTGCACCACCAGCTCTGCATTCTCCATGCCGAAGCACATGGGAGGCTTAAACTTCAAGACGTTCTCCCATGGGCCATCAGTACTGACACATATTTGATCCTCCTCCTTCAACCTGACATAAAGAGGACAAACTCCAATCACAGAACGGCACTGGGGAGTAAGCTTTTTTTAAAAAAACATAAAATGTAAAAACTAACTGATAACTAATATGTTGCACTGCAGTCCCTCACCTCTTGACCACATGCGCTGCAGCTTCTGTGGCAGGAGTCTTCTTCTCTCTGTCAATCACCAGCTCAATTCCCAAAAATAGTCCAACACCTCTACAGAAATAAAGACATGGCCTTTTATTGGAATTATGAAAGAATTAGCATACTTGTCAAATATATTTACATGTTAAGTATTCACGTTAGCAGCGGTTTGCAGTCCATGTCTGAAAATCTGAGATTTTTGTCATTCATATCTAGCTTTTTATACTGCAACGGGTAAACACTACCAAATACATGTATAATAGGGTATGGAGGACAATTTCTATACATTTGAATAATTGAACATTTTTAGATTAAGTAAGATCAAAACACCACACCTGCAAATAAAAGTGAGATGTCAACGAGGCACTGTAAACATGGACATGTCTGTAGGCAAGCTTTAATTAGTAGAGTCACTGGACTTATATGGCAGCTCAATTAGTTATTTTTTAAGTGCTATGAACTGCAGGATACCGCTGACGTAGCATCCTTACCTGACATCTCCAATTATTTCATGTCGTGCTTTCAGTTTTGTGAGCAAATCTTTAAGGTGGGCTCCGACCCTCACAGCATTTCCTCTTAAGTCTTCCTCCACGATCACATCAAGGACTGCTAGGCCAACTGCACATGAAACTGGAGTCCCGCCGAACTGCATGAAGTTGGAGAGTAAAATGAGTGATTTATCTTGAGAATATGCATAAAAGCCTTATATTTAAAAGTAACACAGGAACTGTGAGTGAAATGTACGTTTTAAGTCTTAAAATGACTTATTTCTCTCTTAATGTCATTTTAATATTAATGGTAAAATGGTAAAATAGCTATTATTATCAAATACCTGGTTGTGTGTGGAGATCGGGCATTAATTTATGCTACATTAAGGTTTCTGTATAGTCACCGTATTGAAGTACTCCACTCCGTTGGCTGTAAAAGCTCCAGCTATCTCTGCAGTGGTTGCTACGCATGCCAGGGGATGCCCATTGCCCATCGGTTTGCCCATGGTCACAATGTCTGGGCAGAAATCGTCTCCCTGAAGCTGAAAAGCCCAGAAATGATGTCCCACACGCCCAAAACCTGTCTGCACTTCATCTGCCACAAACACGCCACCAGCTGAGCGCACATATCTGTGGAGAATACGACGAGGAGGCACCACACTTTCATTGTTGTACAACCAGCTGAGCAAAAACAACCAGATAACTGAAGAATTACTCACTCTGCAACTTTAGGAAAGTATCCTTGGGGCAAGATTATTTGTCCACCAACACTGGGCAGGGATTCAGCAAAGAAGGCTGAGATCTAAAGAAAAATAGATAATAAATATGCACTATAAATGTAATGTGCTTATTATTAGCACTGTTCTGAGCGTGTGTAGTAGAGATTTTATTGAGCCTGCATGGAACTGGGTTATAGTGTACCTTACGGCCTTTTTTGTGAACATCCTCTATAAGGTCTTTTACTGTATCAGCATATGCTTGGCCTGGGTTGGGGTGATCTTCTCTGTATATGCCTCTGTATGTGTCTGGTAGAGGTGCCTGGGAGGATGAAAGAACATGTTCTTTGAGATAAGCAGGAGTCTAGTGCTGGGTAGCAGTTTTTGTGATAATAGGTTTCTAAATTTACACACCACATGAACCCATTCTTTCTGTCCCGCCAGTTTCCGGAACTTGTAAGGGCTAATGTCGATGAGAGACATTAGATGCCCATGGTATGCACTAGTGTAGAAGGAGAGCTCATTATAACTGAAAAGCACGTGTAATTGCAGGGGTGAAAGGGCTGCAATGGAGCAAAATACTTACTGGTCAAGAACTACGACATCTTCATGTTGGGTGTACTGATGTGCCAAGCGTAGGGCAAGATCATTGGCCTCTGAACTATCAGGAAAAAGAGATGTAACTGTACTTTAGAGAATGCTTTTTTTAAGGAGTATGAGCGTGCAACAGAATACTCACCCAGAGTTAACAAAGTAGAAGACACACAGTTTCTGGGGGAGGGTAGCAGCCAGGCGGTCAGCATACAGGACTATGTTGTCATGCAGGAATCTTGAATTTGTGTTCAGGACGTCCATTTGAGCTGCTGCAGCCTTTGTGATGGCGGGGTGACAATGACCCACTTTAAAAAACATACATACAACATGTCAGTAATGGCGTTAAAACGTCCTGCCACTAGGTGGCAGAAGTGTAATACACTGTATTTTTTTAATTGGTCAGAAAAAACGGACTTGAGACTGGATGATAATGTTTTTACCATGTTGGACGTTACTGATACAGTCCAAATAGCGTTTGCCATTTTCGTCAAATAGATACTGTCCTCGTGCTCTTACTATTTTCACTGGGTCTTCTGAATAAAACAGTTTACATGACTGTCTGTAATCAAAGAAATCAATACGTGTCATTTGCACTATATGCACAATAAGCCTGTGAGCAAGCGCCAAGAAAACACCAAGTTTCATCTTACATACCCGATTAGCCTATTCCTCATTGCAAGAGTTTCTTCTTTCCGAAGTTCTTCTTGCGCCATGACAACTTAATCTCTGGCTCTTTTAATTTCACGTATACCAAATACAGATACAAATACAATGCCATAAACTATAACAGCTATTGACTAGAAACTTATGGAAAACTGTTTTGCTAACTGACCCAATACGCATGCGTCGGTGGCAGAGCTGAGTTCACTTCCCACTAAGTTCAAACACTTTGTAGTTTTAACTTTTCTTTTCCCCTGTCACAGGTAAGGTAGGGTATCTAAATTTAATAAATATTTTATTATTCGACCTATATTATAAAATACCTTTGCCTTTATTGTTAGACAGGAAGATTTGAAATTACGCTCTCGCTTTAACCAGAACGGTGTCACTGTGGGACGGTCAAAGTGACAGAAGCTCGTAAAATAATTGCAATGTGTTTTGCTGTGAGTTCAGTTTAATTTCCTCCAAAACAACAGAAAAAAACAATAGTAAACGTTATACATTTTTGGTATGTCTAAACCTCATTTAAGCATCTCTTGAATCACCAGTTGTAAAGGCATGTGACAAAAACACCCTCTCAATTGGTATCGTCCAGAAGCTATAAATACTCAGTTAATCTGCTCGCCACCCGGTGCACTCGCTGCGCAGCTTTGGTTGCTTAGGAACGCCTGAATGCAGGTAATACATCAAGACAGCTGTAGCATGCTAGCTTGCAACCAAGCTGCCTGACCAAGCTAACGCTACAACTGATTTAGACATAGACTGTTGGGTTAGCGTTAAATTTAGGAACGCAAATTTTCATACTGGCCTTACAAAACGTAGCTATAACCGACTGGAATGACAAGCCTCTAACCGGTCGCAATCAGATCTATTGTAATAAACTGACGCTAGTAATTTTAGTGCATTTATTGTATGAGCTAGCTGACAACTTGGTGCTTCACTGGCTGCATCGTGTTCGTGAGCTAGCTTACCACATACCACCTTGCTCACCGGCTATAATCGGAATCCTATCGATCCTGTAAGTTTAGCATTATTTTAATGTGTTACATTGTAACGAACAACAGCTGGATTGCAGTTCATGAATTTTAGCTGATGGGCAGAAACGTGGTTTTTGAGTAAGCTGCGCAACACTGTGTTAAACTCGCTTGTTTTCCTTTTTTTTTTTTTGTTGTTGTTTTTTTTTAAAAAAATTTTTTAAATACAGTGTCCTTAAGTCAAAGCTATTTTATCAAGGTGGCTGTGCTAGAGGTTTCTTGTCATTTCGACAGCGTCCTATATTTTTTTTTTCTTATGCTGATCGAATGTATGTTAGCTAGTCACACTGAAAAGTGATGCTAAAGTTTTATACTAGTTACTTGACAGCTTTTGATTGTGTTCAGGACATGACAGTGGAAAAAGCTTGGTCTTGTGCCCCTTAAATAATGTCTTGTGGCATGTGGAACTAGGCTGGCAAATGCACTGTTTGCCACAAGGAGGAGGAAGGCCCTGGAGGCCACATCTTGACTCTCAACAGTGATTGAACGAAAGGCTCTTAAGTGAGCTGAAATATAAATGCCATCAAAGGGCCTCAAAGTTGCTAGATTAATATTTGGGTTTTTTTGAAGGGGGGTTTTCCACCCTACATGTGCTCTACACATTCTTTTAAACAGAAGTCCAAAGGCTAATGGGTCATGTTACATTTTAATGCAACGGTCATTCTGTGTCTTTTACTTTCAATTTGAGATGTACAGCACTGAGTAATAGACTTCCTGGGATTCCATACATGGGCTACTGCAGGGGAATCTTCAGGTGTTTGTGCATTCAGTAACTAATTTTTTTTTTTTTTTTTTTAAGTTTTTGATTACAAGTAGAGTAGTTCAGGACTGTATTTGGTTTGGCCTCAAGTAAGTCCTTGAGACCTGGTCACTATTCTTTTGTCCCCTTTACAAAGATACTATGGTATGCTTCCAGCCCCTGTCCCATTCATTTTTCACACACTTCCCCCTCCATCCTTTCCCTTTTAGTCTTTCCCTCCCCCTTCCATTCTTTACTACTCACAACTCTTGTCATTTCAGTTTATTGGATCCTACTGACTTGATTGCAAAAGTTTTCACTTGAGTTGTAGTCTGCATCTCCTTCGAAATAAAATTTTCTTTGGAGTCCCATTTGGAATGACAATATGAACTTAATTTGATGAAATGTGACGTGCTGCTTTGTTCAGGGTCACCTCATGTCAATGTGTGATTCTCACCTTAGTGAGCATAAACTTCTGCTCCTGCATGAATGAAAGGGCAACTTATAAGCCCTAGCTTGGTTCACATAGACCTGTGGTCAGTGTTTGGTGTGCAGCTTTTCTGTTCCTCTTGCTGTGGGCTTTCCCAAACAGAAAAACAAACATTAGAAAGTACCCTCTGCCCCACAATGACTAAACTAGTTTGATTTCTCTGCAGTTTGTCTAACCACTTATTTAATTTGTTTCAATCTATTCTCACCTACCTCTCTAGGTTGCATAAAGATGTTGGTGGCAAAGTGAGGAAGCTGGTCAGTCTGGCTGGTTGAGGTGTAGAGGGGACGCCACAAACCACGCCAGAACTCTGACTAATGACACTTTCACTGCCCTTGGTAAATCTCCTCATCTCCATGTCTCTCCCTGGATCATAGCTACAAATATGGTGACTCTTATAACAGAGCAACTTCGTAAGCAGAGTTTAGAAGAACCCTATCACAAGGCCTTCTCATTCAGTGTGAATGTGGTGAGTTGGATGGTTTAGATGGAACAAAGTCTTGTCCTTCAAACTGATTTTGTTTCATTGACTTGGTTTTCTCACTTCTGATTTTGAAAACAAGTCATTCTGTTTGTTACAGTCATTACCTACAGTGGGCTCCAGTCCCACTGTCTCGTGGAGTGCTCATAAAACAACACAAGGCAAGTTTAGTGAGTTAAGAGCAACATTTGTGACCAGTGGGGAAATTGGCCTCATGTTTATCTTTTTGGCATTTTCAGAGAGCTACACCTCAACTACACATCCATCATCTGTTGCCAGTGTTTTGGATGACTCCTGTGGACTTGATTCACTATGGCCTACTTCTCAATCTGGAGAATCACTCCAGAGACCAGAACGTCCCTTCAAGGCTTTCCAAAGTTCACCTCCGCCACCTCCAAAACGCCACTGCCGGTCCCTCTCTGTTCCAGAGGATCTGTCTCAGTGCCGCACCACCTGGCATCCCAGCGCATCAAGGGTTTGGACCCCGGTGAAACGTAGCTGTCACAGTGGTGGAGCATCTAGTTCAGGCTCTGGAGCCAGCTCTTTGCCACTTTGTGGTCCTAGTTCCTCCTTCCCCTCTTCCTCCGTACACTCATCTGCTAGTCCTACCTTCTTTAGCTTAGCGCTATCGTCTGACTCCCTAATATCATGGGGCTTCCCATGGGACCCCTGCGATACACTGAAAGGAGCGTGTTCTGCATCCTTTGCTACGCCTTCTTCGTGCTCTTCTTCACCGGCCCCGCTGACCTCACACTATGTGCTGCAGCGTCGCTTCTCCCTCTCCCCTGTACACATTCAGAAATCTCCTACGGTGCCCTTGCCCCCCCAACCCTGTCCAGGTTCAGCCTTGAAATATGGCCGTTCTGACTTGGAGCACCCAGCGCTGTCTCAGTCTCCTACTTCAGCCTGCAGTACACCATCCTCATCTAGGCGTGGCCTCCACCCTGCTTTGCCACGTTGCCACTCGCAGCCCTGTGACATGCGCAAACCTCGCTTAAAGAGGCGCCATGACCCAGATGTTCTGCCCTACCCAAGGCCAGTCCTCGACTTCAGCAAGATGACACAGGTGAGCAAGGAAGGTGGTCCATCAGTGTTACAGTACCTATGTGACGGAGGCTAATAGTATTGGTGAGCAATCAAGTTCACTACTTTCCTTAAATGTAGCGTTCTCTTTGAGACCTTTTGTGATCTTTTTTTTTTTTTGTTGCTTTTTTTGCTTTTATCTCATTACTTATGTTTAACCACTTTATCTTTATCACTTATTATTTGATGCAAGGACGCAAGACAGTAATTCTTTTTGTCTATAAAAATAGTAACATGATGATCATGATGCACATGGTTTTTCCTGCTTAGATTGGTAATCGTGAGAGCCCTGCATATGGACCAGGTAGCGGTTTGATTCCAGTGACCTCACAGGTGGAACGACGTTCGGCTTTCTCTCCGGCAGAGTTTCTGGGAAGAGCCAGCATCGGGCCGCTCAGTGAAAGTGAGGAAGAGGAAGACGAAAGGAGGCCTGCAGATGGAGGACAAAAGATTGTTTTTGAAAGAGACTGTACAGAATTGGATCTGAACCTTATAGAAGAAAACTGATCGCTCCTTGGTGCTCTCAGTGTTACAACTACATCAATATCCATGTTAAGCACACCTGCAGGCTTATATTTTTTGTCTTTTTAATATAACGTGCTATTCTGGCAGTTGGTGGAAACCTGCTGCCCTCTCTATACAAATGTCCAGAGTTTAAAAGTAAGATCCAAGAACCCCATGTGGGAGGCTAATATCCAATGACATTGCTGCGATCATAACACTTGAGCTTGCTCACTATTCAAAATTGCACAAATTTTGTTAGCGCTGGCCTGTTGAAGCACTCCTTAAGGAAATGTGCATGAGCGAATAAGCAAGATTTAATGCGCACAGATTTTTGACTAATATTTGATATTAAGACAAGTCTTAATTAGCATAAGCCACTGGTTTGCATCTTGATGGCCTTACATATCCTTATCAAAGAACTTTATTGCCAGAGGTTGACAGAATGTTTCTATTACATGACGCACACTAAATGCCAGTAACTGAATGAGACAGATTGTTGTTCAGTGCTGCTTCTGATACTCGAGTAGACTACTTTTGTATTTGGCTGACTGAATTAAATGTGAGCTGTTTAACAGTAGCTAAAATGTTGCTGTGTGTAAGATTTAAAAAAAAAAAAAAAAAAAAGCCCATACAATAAGTATCCATATTTAATTGTTCTGTGTATTTAACAGGATACATTCCACTTTTTAAAAATCTCGCCTAAAGCCTCTTCACTTTTACTGCTGTTCTAACTTTTCAGATATATTCTGCTTTTCTTCTGGCACAAACGACAGAACACACCCTCTACGTTACATTATCTTTTTGGAGTTTGTGTAATTGCTTTGACATTGACACATCTTGTTAACAGCGACACGGCTTACATAAACTGACCATGCCTTAAGCTTAAAATACAGAGTTCTTGGTGCTGTGCTCTTGTTTTTCACAGCCAGGCTCCTGTTTGCACTGATTGAGATATTTCTGAATTCGAGGCACATACACTTCAGTGGTCAGTCGTATGAGTGCTGCAGCTGGTCTTCACAGGGCACAATGTAACGGGCTGTACAGTGGTTTGAGTGAGTACATGCGTCCAGCCATTTCTGAGAGTGTATGTAACGAAAGAGTGAGGCTTTTAAGAAATGATTTCTTTGGCTGGAAATATACTTGTTGCACAATTTATGTACAAATAAATTTAATAGAATTATTTTTTTTCCCAAAAAGTGTCTTGTCCTTCTTTTCTTCTTCTTAAATGAATATGAATGTTGTTTCATGCTTGGACCCAACATAAAGAAAGTCAGGGGGCAGTAGATAATTGGATTATTGTGACACCTAGTGGCTGATCTCAGTATAATAGTCGTGCTGTATGAATATACTGTATAGTCCAGTTTGGGTTAGTTAACATAGATATTGACACACATACACCTACATTTCGCGCTCGGGGAGAAAATATGTTTTTCCTGTAAACTATATTGTAGCTAGCTGTAACCGAATTACAAATTGAGCAGAATCGGGTCTGCGGGTGTATGTGTAAGAACGCTGCACACGAAGTTAAAGTTTAAGCAGAAAGTTTTGATAGCTGCCTGCAGACTTGTTGCACTAGAGTTTGCGCGTCTTTGTCGTTCCGCCTTGAAAGGTGAGGGCGCTCCTTCCAGTCCAAGGATGCTTTCTCGCACACTGTCTGACCCCCACATCGACAAGCCACTTCCTCTTTGTCTAATTTCATGGCGATCGGGAGAGAGGGAACACCGCCGACGCACGCACACTGTCTGAGCACTCCTCAAAGAGTTTATTCGGGGTAAATAATTATCATTTCTCCTCACAAGATTCGCTTTTTAGTTCACAAAGTAGATGTGGTTCAAATCAAGCATACGGGCGATTGTTCCTTCCCCGAAGAATTAATGATTTTAAAGCTTCTGGGTCAGATATTTCACATTGTAGCGCTCTTCGCTGATAACAGATCGGACGAAATGGGCTCCCCCTCCGTTCTCATCTCCCACACACTCAGCTGCACGCTAGTTATCGGCGATAGCTAGCTAACGTTAGCAACGCTTCAAACGCCTCATGTAATTGTGGACGTGGGTTGTAGCAACACTATTCACGAGTTAATGAGAAGTAAATAACATCAAAAACAACGTGTACTCGAAAGTTGGCGGGAGTTTGAACTTGCCACTAAAATGTTAGAGAGTCCTCAAGTGTTTGTGTTTGGGTTAGCTAGCCACCGTCGCGCAGCTAGCTGCTGTGCTATGTGTTTAGTTAGCGATAGCTCGGATTGCGATTCAAAAGTTAATGCTAGCTGAACTAACTCGGAGTGGACTTTAGTGAATGTCATCTGCGTATATGAGTCAATAAATGTAACGTTTGCATTTAACGGATGAATGTTATCCTTCATTGTAAGCGTCCCGGTGTTTCTGGATAGAGTAGAAACGAGTGAGCTAGCACTGTAAGCTAACTAGTTCATTAACGGTAATTTGGGAGCTAACCGTTGGGGATATTGTAACCAAAAAGTTATCAAGAGTGTCCTTTCGTACTGTTTATTCGTACTGTGTTCCTAGGTTGTTGTAGTAAAGTTAAGGAGAAAGTTGGGGAACACGAACGAGTGTA